TAATTTATTATTTATTTTAATATAAAATTTTTAGTATAAAAAAATGATGTACAGACACAAACACTTTTTGTTTTATTTGTTTATTGTTCTACTTATTCTATCCACTGTATAGACGATTTTAAACTATAGTAGTACATGACTGTATGTAACATGTCAAAGTAAAAATGGACTATATTTGTACTTTCTTACATTAAAGAAGAGTCCAAAAATGTTTCATCTATAATTGTGTTCTTCTTAATGAAATTCTTTAATGTGCAATGAATAAATTAGCAAATAAAGAAGTAAAAAAATTTGTCACTAATAGAGATACCATCGTAAAGCTGTATTAGATACAAAAAAAACGTGTAAACTTGACGCGAGGTCGAAGTAAAACTTCTTTAGTAGTAACAGATACCGCAATTAAATTAAAACAAATCAAAATATAAATGTAATTATTATTATAAAATTATTAATAATAAATATATATTTTTATAAATAATAATTATTATATAAATATGAATATAATATATATTTTTTAATTATTAGTAATGAATTTGACTCTCACTTTTGCGACACTCATTTTATTATATGTATTGACTTACCTCAGTCACGTCTAAAGAAGTTTTATTTCAAAAGAGTAATTTCTAATCATGTACTCTACATGTCATAGACTAAGCTCTACATAATTAGTTTTAGTGTTTGTAATATAGAGATGTATTTACTGAAACTTTTACATTATATCATAAGTGATGGGTGTTTGTACTATAATATAATGTTAGGTTGGTGTACTTAAGTGTTAAATAAATATTATTTAAAAGTGTCGTCCAATTGATTTCTTTCTTACTACGTTTTATTTGTTTTTAATTTTCAGACAAAGAGTCAAAACCTCTCACTAAAAAAATTTTGTCTTGAGAAGAATGGCGGTAAGTCAGCAAGACTATTATTAGGTATATTTTACTTTTTTAAGTAAAAACCGGACTATATTAGGTATTTTTTTACTTTTTTAAGTAAAAACCTACGAGTACTTGTAACAAATATTATTTAAAAGTATCGTCCAATTAATTCCTTTCTAATTATTAATTTTTTCAATTTCCTTATTGGCATAGATATTAGATTATATTTATACTTAATGGGACTAAAGTCATGGACGAGAAATAAACTCGTTATGTCTTTTATAGTTCCAACATATAATTGCCAATCGTTATTTAAATCTATGTTAACTTATGTATAAAATGAATTGTTAGACCGTTATTTTAAAAGAATAAAAAAAGTACCTTTATCTCCTCTGTTAGTCAATCGATTTTCTTCTTTTTTTTCATTAGTAGCGATTGACGAGGTGACCACGATCAGGCTGACAAGACTGTAACGATTAAGGAGGAGAAGAAGATTGACGAGCTTTCGTGTTATCAATAAAAAAAAATTACGGTTGAATTTCATCCACAAGCAAACTTCTTATAATTTAAACAGTAGTAAAATAACACAAGGGGCTTTTATTAATAACATTAAGATTGCCTAAAAATTTCATCAAAATCGCTCCAGCCGTTTTGGAGTCCCTAGGGAACATACATACATGAAAACATAATAACATATATCGATCCATACTAATATTATAAATGCGAAATTAACGCTGCTGTCTGCCTGTCTATGTTTCCACGCTTAATCCGCTGAACCAATTTAAATGGAATTTAGTATGGCAATAGTTTGAGACCTGGGAAGAACATAGGATAGTTTTACCTCTAAAATCATCCCTTAGGAGGATGAAAAGGGGAGTGGAAGTTTGTATGAGGAATTAATTATTTCTCAAGTAGGTACATAAGGGGGAACTCATCACACCTATGTATAAATGTATAGTCTATTTATATATACATATAGATAGATTGCATATCGATTTGTATGCATTAGTAACACTGGTGTTACCAAATTAGAAATAGCAGTATTAACTAATAATTTAACGGTTAAGCCCTAACGCATTGAATATATATCTACATTTTAAAGCTAGCTATTATAACTGTTTTAAATAATGATTTTGACTCTATTACTTAAGCTTTGTACGTCATAGGTAACAAGTACCTATTAGGTGTTCTCATTACTATAGTGGATGCTTTTGCTTTATTTATTATCAAACTGCCCCAAAAGGCTGGCTGCTTATTAGACTTCAAAGGGTATGAGAACGAATGTATATATTATATGATTTATATATTTGAATAAGTAAGCTTTGAATTAATTAATTTTCTTATGAAACCCTAATTTTCTTCAAAATATATGTAACAAATTGCTTTAGCATTTATAACTTTAATTAATTTTCATAAATAAAGTTATTGTTCGTAAAATTAGCTCATAAAAAAGTAAAGTCAGCAGAACTACGACTATTATTAGGTATTTTTTTACTTTTTAAGAACAAAATTAATTTCCAACATTGAAAGAGCCTGAAAGCAATTGCATCGTTCCCAAGATGTGCTATCTTCTAGAAAATCTTTTACGGTATAAATAGCCTTTGGGATTAAAAACATTCTTTAAAATATTTTTCAAATTGTGGTAAGAAGAATTTTTTGCTATGAATATAAACATAAATAAAGATTTCGTACGTATGTACGTATGTATGTTTGTACAACCGTAGTGACGCAGTGGTCGGTAATTGGGTTTGCTTAATATGCCGGAGGTCATAAGTTATATGCACGACTGAACAATATACGTGTTAAATATACTATACTAATATTATAAAGTCTATACTAATATTATAAAGAGGTAAAGTTGTTGTTGTTGTGAGTTTGTGAATTTATGACGTTGTAGGGGGTAATCTCTGGATCTACTGAAACGATTTAGATGGAATTTGGTAAGAAGATAGTTTGAGATCCTGGGAAGGACATACTTTGTATCCTGGAAATTATACCTTATTAAGGGGGTGAAAATAGGGATAAAAGTTCGTGTTGAAATGCAAGCTAGGGCTAAAAATATATTTTGATACGTATTACGTATTGATAGAGTTAAAAATAAAACTTACAATGTTTTTTGTTTTACTAATTAGTCATACAGTTTCTTAAATTTACGTAACGTTATTAGGATCCAGGCCACATGTACGAGTTCGATAAGAATCAGTGGCTACACTACAGCTATGACTCTTATTAAAATAGCATAAAGCTCAAAATGTAAGAACATTTCCAAATCATTTACAACATGACGCGGATAACCATAATTTCACAAAAGGACATCACTATTAACATACAATTGTTGTGCGCGTCATAAAAATTGTTTGGGACTAAACTTGGGTGATTAGTGATGTATCATTTAACTGTCGATATTTTTTCATTTATTTGGATGTACTGTAAAATATTTACACTTTATTTATTTTTTGCCTTGTAGAAGAGAATCATATTTCTTACCTACATATACTTTGGGCAAAAATATAAATTTACTTAGTAGACAGGTTTTCTCAGTATATTATTTACTACAAATTACAGTTTTCGTCTCATATTACGATTTGAAACGCTTGAAACATCTTATGATTTGAAACGATAAGATTTTTTTTTAATACAAATTTTCTAACATAGCCTCTAATTTAACGTATTAAATATATAGTACCTTATTGAATTGCATTGAATATATTTATAACACTATATTAATTTAATCTAACATTGACCCCGTCCCATGTCAGGGAGATGTCGTCTAAAGTGCGAGCGGCGGAGATGGCTGAACTTAAGTGACGTAAATGCGTATACGTATAGGTACGTAAAAATGCCTCCCTTAGTCAAAATTATGTTTTTATTCCATTTGCTGTAGAAAGACAGCTGCCCTTGGTGCATAGAGTCAAAGTGCTAAGCACTTCTAAAAAGACATAAAACCTCGTCTTATCGACTTTACTTGTGACAGGAGAGGTAGCGCATTTTTCGTCCAAAACAATCGCCATGGCCATTCCACGGGGGAATGCGGCTAGCATTGTTGCCATTATTCCACGCGGACATGGCTTGTACAGTAATTATAGCTAAGTGTACATTTGTTTTATATATTTTGTATATAATTAAGTATATTTGTAATTTTATTTAATCTTCAATTAAATCTATAAAGAAATGAAAGGTTGTTATAATCTAAAACAAAATTTTATATTACTTTCATTTTAAGACATCTTAAAGTCGTTTCCAGATTTTCTTCTCAGAGCAATCTTAGTTACGAGCCGGCAACCTTGTTAATTACGAACGTTTATTTTAACGTAACTCATTAAATTTTCTCATTCCATTCGTAAATGAGCATTGCGATATAAATACTCTGTAATATTACGTATATTAATTGTGTTTTGGTTTAATTATGTTTCAGATGTTATAATTTTTGATTAAATTTTGTTAATTTTGTCATAGTTTAAATGTTTTATTCGACGTCAAACTTAGACTTTACACTCTAGAACTAATTATATAGACATAAATTAGTTTAAAACTGGTAAAGATGAAATTTTCATAGATTGATTATTACTTATTTATTATATAAAATATATATAATATACACATATAACTATACGTAGTTTTTCAACGTATGATAAATATGCTACAAACAATATTTTTATGTTATACGTAAAAGCATTACTCAACAACAAATAGTTATATAACAGATAAATAGCTAAAAACAATATTTTAAAGGACGTTGACTTGTTAATTGCTCTAACATTTTTTATCGACACATGCGTTAACAACTTTCACATCTCTAGTGTACATTGGCTAGCAGACAGTAACTTACCTGTGGTCGCTTTACTAGTACAAAAACCTAAAGAAAAAAAAGTGAACATAAGTGATTTATAAAAATAAAATTTTTAATAAAATTAAATTGTCATAATATTTTTTTAATAAAAAAAAACATTGTGAATGTGAAAAGTGATATAATCTTAAAGCGAGCAAAAGTGTCCTTTAAACCTTTAGCAACAATCTTCAAATCATTTTTTTTTTAATATTAACAAAGAAAAATAATAAACCACGTTATTTTAGTAGTTTAAAAGATTATTTTAACGTGAGCTTTCATACAATATAAGTTCCAACACAATGGGGTGCAAGTTATCTCAGCTAGCGGCTTCTGAGTTCACTCACGACCCTTTCGACCGGCCGCCTCCAGCATCTGATCCTCGATCACCTCTCACTGCTAAGCAACAATACTGTATAATGGCCTCATGGAAAGGCATTTTCAGACAAATCGAGAAGACTGGCATTATATTGTTTGTCAAGTTAGTATCTATTAATTACTTTTATTCACTAGTTAATAATTTTAAGTGACAAGATGTAATCTATACTAATATTATAAAGGTGAAAGTGTGTTTGTTTGTTTCTTATCCTCCTTTCACGTCGAAACAGAGTGAGACAGATTGGCGGAATTTTTGTGTGGAGATAGTTAGAGGGCTGGAGAGTGACACAGGCTACTTTTTACCGCGCAAGATTATCTCATTCTCACGGGAAAATAAATTATAATACAAGCGAAAAAATATTAATGATCAGAATTTATTAAAACTTGATAAATAAAAACTTGAAATTCATCCCATCCCATAAGGGGAAAATATGGGATGAAAATTTGTATAAAACCTACCATTTTAAAGTATTTTTTGTAGTTCTAGCGCAAGCGAAGCCGCGGGTTCTGCTAGTTTTATATAATTTAAGAACGAGTTGACAATAAAATCCTTATTAATAATATCATTGAGAAGATGTGCTTACTGTAAAATATGTTAGTTGGTTATATGTTTCGAATCCCTGGTCAAGTCGAGTTATTGAGGTTTTCTACCAAAAAAAATTTTTTAGCAGCCCGGTGTTGCTATACGCTTCACATCACAAAAGCCTTTACGTTTCTTTTTTTTACCCCTACTTGCATCATAGAGCACGGCAGTTAATCGGTTGTTCACTTGCCCTACATCTCGTTGGTCAATGTCAGAGTGAAAGGAAAAAAATAATACATTTTTGTCTGCGAGCATACTCGTGTACTATAATATCTCCTACACACTTTCGCTAGTCTCAGGGAGATTGGCCGCCGTCGCCGATATCGGTCAAGTGGATATTATAAAAATCAATATTATTTCTATTGTCTTTACTAGTTTTCAAGAAGCAAGAATTGGTTTTTGGTATTATTAATTTAAAGGTAGCAAAATTAAGTCAGCGTTTTCAAAGATACTCGTATAATATTGTCTTTTGGATACATTCCCTTTTGGCAGCATTGTAGACACTGTGCCATAAATTGTACCATCTTATTTTTCATATTTTACATGTAAAAGCTAGCATTTTTAAAATAAAATATGAATAAAATAACAATTTAAAATTGAAATGTATATAACACCATTTGGAATAATTGCTAAACTAAATATTGTTAGGGACATTAAATACAACAGTAATTACATAAGTAATTGTTGGTTGCAATATTTTGTCCATTATCTATACTAATATTATAAAGAGGTAAATTTTGTAAGTTTGTGACGTTGTAGAGGGTAATCTCTGGATCTACTGAAACGATTTAGATGAAATATGGTAAGAAAATAGTTGAGACCCTGGGAAGGACATAGGATACTTTTTATCCCGGAAATCATCCCTTAAGGGGGTGAAATTGGGGATGAAAGTTTTTATGGGGAACCCACCTAGGGACGAACCCGAGCGAAGCGAGGTTGAGTCGCTAGACGTTTATGTAATGCTAAGTATCATATTGAAGTAATCAGACTCTCAATATTTTCTGACACTCAAGTGTAGGTCAAAGACTTACTCTACGAGGTAGAACGTTATATATATTATATATATATATATATATATATATATACTGTAACTCGATATTTAAAATGTGCGACCCGGCTCTTCTCAGCAGATCTGCCGTCCGAACCGGTGGCACTCATACCTTCTTCACGGGTCGATTACACTGGTTCATTAACTTTGATTTTTTTAATTGATCGTCAATAACTACTAAACAAAAAAATGGTCTAACAGAGGACAAACAGGTACTGAACTGTTTTGCCGTTAAATATTTATATATAGACTAGCGACTCACCTTCGCTTAGCTAGGGTTCATCCTTTGGTTCGTTTTAACGGTTAGTGTAGATTTCTCAGAAATGAGTTGCTTACCCTGAGTAAAAAGTACCCGAAATATTGACCCGGATAACTAGCTATCATCATACCAAATTTCATTAAAATCTGTTCAGTGGTTTTCTCGTGATGCGTTCCAAGACAGACAGACGTCAGACAGACAGACAGAAAAAAATCTAAAACTATAGATTCGGCCTCTGTATCGATAATAATGGCTATTTCAAAAAGATTTTCCAAAAAATATTTAATATACAGATTCGACTCAGAATTTTATGATATGTATAGATATAGATAAACAAAGGCGATGTCGCACGAAACATTATTTTCACTTTTGACCTATTTTTGATCCAAATGTCGCTCCCTAAAGGCTCATTATTTTAGCAAACAGGCCTAAATACACATATACCCAATTCCATATTACCCAGAACTTAGAGACGACTGATTAACTAAAGGTCCACTCACTAAGCTCACGCTTCAGTAACACCCCACGTGTACTTTAGTAACTTTAACTTTGCTAATCGGACCACTTTTATAAATGCGAAAGTTTATTTTTGTTTGTCTATACTAATATTATAAAGAGGAAAGATTTTTTGTTTGTTTGTAATAAGCTCCGAAATTACTGAACCCATTTAGATGAAATTTGGTAAGAAGATAGTTTTAGACCCTGGAAAGGACATAAAATAGTTTTAATTCCGGGAATCATTCCTTAAGGGGGTGAAAATGGCGATGAAAGTTTGTATTTTGAAGCAAGCTAGGGATGAACTGGAGCGAAGCGAGGGTGAGTCGCTAGTCCAAATATAAAGGGGGTAATAAATTTTAATTTTACATACAAAGTACAAATGATATAATATCAATTAATATAAATAATCTACGAAAATGATTAAAATCGAACCGAATGAACGGTTACGTTAGAGTAGACTCACTAGATAATTACAAGCAGGACACTAGATTATGACTAATGGTAACAAATCCTATACAAAAAAATCTCTTTGAAGCCGCTCATTTCTTATTCCTTTTAAGTGTCAAGTATGTTTGTAATAAGTAAATAACATTAAAAGAAGTCAAATATTTGCTTATATTTATACGCACAATCTCTGTATGAACATAAGAATTATACACTTAATTTTACATCTCTATGCTCAGTTAACAGAAAACGAAGCGGGTTCAATTCCTGAGCTTGAGCGGAAATAAAAAAGTCACTTACAAATATGACATGCTTATCTCAACGTTTTTTTCACCCCTCAGTTACATGTGTGGAGCCCCAACGCTATTTTTTTTATTTTTTGTAATTTGACTAATGGATTGTCAAGCGGTTCCGTGAGCCTTCCTTTTAACTATATAGCTTCAATAGTCCCTGAATACAATGGATGTGATATACGGACAGACATGACGAAATTTTCCGCTTCGTAGGGTTCCTTCAAAAATTCAACCAAAAATTAAAATTCTATTTATACCAATAATAACAAAATATTATAGTTTTTTATTAACTTGTTATTTACCTTACGTAATAAGTATTAGCTTATTTTATAAAATTATCATTTTTTTGACAATGATAAAAGTGTTTCAAGTGTGTTGTTCAAAACATGAATTTAATATTGCTTCTATGTATTATTTATTCAGCCCTTTTTAACGTCCCACTGCTGGGCACGGGCCTCCCTTCAGTACGAGGGGGATCAGGCCAAAGCCCATCACGCTGGTTGGCGGACTTCACATGTCTTTCGAAAACTTGCTAAATCTCTCAGACATGGAGGATTCCTCACGATGTTTTCCTTCACCGCAAGGCAAGTGATAATCATGTTTGAAATGATTCGCACATCAAAATATCAGAGGTGCGAGGACCGGGATTTGAACCCGCTTCACTTGGTTTCCCAAGCGAGCGCGTTACCACTGCCTTACTACTACTACCTTGCTTGTATGTACTGAGGCCTTTTAGTAAGTTCACAGTGATTCACTTTCGTGCCACTAGTCACCTACTAATAACACCCTTAAAGCATTACAATAACTTTACTCATACCGGATACCCTTCATCATGTGTTAATCATGTTTATTACTAATTTAATAAATAAATATATACATCAGAGTAACCTATGTAAATAAAATGAAAAGTTTGTAATGTCAAAATAAGAACTGTTTACTTTTAATGCTATGACGGTAATTACAAGAAAAAAAAAATTAAAATTTTTGTCTGACTGTCTGTTTGTTCCGGCTAATATCCGAAACGGCTGGACCAATTTTTCACTGCTCGATAGAAGACGTTTTGAGTATCTACTACCTAGTAACGTAGGCTACTTTTATTGTAGAAGAAGAATTAGGGTTCCGCGCCAAAAATTTAAAACCCATAAAATTATGAAGAAAATCAGCTTATTCTAGAGAGGCACGCGAGCCAAGCGAGGGTAAGTCGTTAGTATGTTTATAAATGTCGGTAAACAATTGTCGAAGATAAAAAAAATGTACTCAAATCCAGTATCTTCTCCTTTCAAAGTCGTTAAGAACAAATAACAAAACAAGTAGAATAAAAATCATATCTTGGCATTAGCGATTCACACTCGCTTCGCTCAATACAAACTTTCATCCCCATTTTCACCCCCTTAAGGGATGATTTCCGGGATATAAAGTATTCTATGTCCTACCTAGGGTCTCAAACTATCTTCTTACCAAATTTCATCTAAAGCGGTTCAGTAGATCCAGAGATTTCCCCCTACAACCTCACAAACTTTACCTCTTTATAATATTAGTAAAGATTTAATTAATATTAATCTGTGTTAGACACGACAAATTACAAGACAATACAGTTCAGTATCTTTTTCTCTTCTGTTTTTCAACCGATTTTCAACGAGCTAGTTTTCAAAATAAAAAAATTTGGAAACGGTTTTTATATCATAGGTAAATTCCATTTATACAGAGTCATTTTAGTTTACTGAAAACCTTTTGGGAATATACTACTTACATCATAACAACAACATCTGTAACGAGAAAAAACAATATATCTTAAAAAAAAATTCATACAAAATTAAAAATATTTTTGTTGCACCTTCTAAACTTTAAAGTTCTAGCATCTGGCCAAGTTTAAATGAGTAAGCGCCGCTATCTAATTCCTTCCACCCCTCCCCCTCCACCGGACACGCACTTTCTTTTGCTAATGCTGGACTATTACCGTTTAGAAGGTGCAATAAAA